CAGCTCGGACCACTGTACAGTATTGGACAACACTGGACAACACCAATAATATACCTGACAAACTCTGGACCGCCACCAAGAGTATGATACTATGATTGGGGTGGAAATTCTAGGTCAATGGGGAAGAGTGAAATGTGCAATTCAAATTAACCTGATACGGAACCGTTATGAATGGGAATCTCCAAGAGAGACTGGTTAGCTAGCGGCAAGGAGGCAGACATCAGGCAGACATCAATGATATGTGGCTGAGGTGGTGGTCACTGTCAAGGTATGGAGGCAGAGCACTCAAACCGAGAGATGTCAGAGTCCCAAATGATGGTGGTGATGGTCAGAAGTGAACTCAACAACCATGGACGAGGAAGCAGACGGGTGGCTACACGGACATAAGGCCGAACTGGATGTGGAATCGCAGTATCTTTCTTGCAATTCTTGTTTAAAATAGCAAAGCTGTCAAGTTCAGTGGTGGAACCTGCAAAGAACTCGTGAGAAAAAAGGGTTTGCAATAGCAATCCTCATTAACTAAATCCAGATAGCATTGTCATTAGCACACCCATAAGACAAACATGAAGAAGTAAGAAGTAAGAAGAAGTAAGAAGTAAGAAGTAAGAAGTAAGAAGAAGTTGGTTACAGACCGATAATGAATACGAGCAAGGGGGTTTCTGAACATGGAGCAGGGTTAGGGGACATGGACAAAGATGGAATCAAAGGAAAGACGGAGGTCGGTGCTCGGTGGACACAATGAAGCTCTCAACCAAGGAACAAGAGAGTGAACGGAGGAAAAGAGGGACAAACCTAGGGAGGGAAAGAAGGGAAATGGTAGACATAGGGATGGGTTAAGGAAGTCACGGGTCAGGTAACAAACGACATAATTGCAAGGAGACGAGATGCCGCGGGAAGGAGATTGCAACAAGATACAGGGCCAGAAGTAAGGATGATATACCGGAGCTGATACAAAGTACGAGGTTTCAGGGTTTAGGGTTTTAGGGGTTGCTCAGGCAAAAGGAAAGACAGGTGGAGTGGAAAGGACTCGGATTGATGATGACAATAGAAGGACTCTTTCTAGGTTAAATGATGGCATCTGGCAGACCTAAACTTTGGGTCTGAGAGGAAAGAGAGGGAATGGGCAAGCTGGCAGTCAATCCTCCACTGAGATGGAGCAATCAATGCTGTCCAGGGGTCCTTCGGCCAGACGGAAGGATGCGTGCGTGAGTCCCAATGATGTATTAACTCTTGACTTGCCGGTGGAATAGGAACCGGACTGATGCTCCCCAGAATAGAATGGAGCCGGGACCATAAGGCCCCGTTTAAAAAAAAAAAAAAAAAAAAAAAAAAAAAAAAAAAAAAAAAAGAAGAAGAAGTAAGAAGAAGTAAGAAGTAAGAAGTAAGAAGTAAGAAGTAAGAAGCAGTAAGAAGAAGAAGAAGAAGAAGAAGAAGAAGAAGAAGTTAAACAAAGCGAGCCCGCACGCAATGTGAACTTGAAAAGATAACCGTTGACCCAAACGTGACAGTAACCATGCTTGAAAGATAAAAAATGGAAACGCTATGGCTAATAAAACGGCGTGTGACACAACATGTTTTGGCCCGTCGCCGTAACGGCTTCTTCAGGGGTCTTAGTGTTCCTTAATTGCTTAGTGCGATAGACTTAGAATAAATATAGGAATCGTCAACATCGTTTCAACTCATCTTCCTACCAAGCCGATGATCACCTCATCTTCACGTCCGGGCTATTCCACAGAAACTCAGCCCACCGCCCCGTCAGGCCCTTCACTTGTCCAAGTAGGAAAGCAAACCCGTACTACCCTATAGAAAAATACAAGGATTGGTCTAGTCCGACCCCACTTACCGCTGAGGTCCAAGGAACCAGAAAGAGTCTCGACCGAGAGTTCCGAGGACTTTATCAGAATCAAGTGGGGACCGGACCAGGTCCAGCCCAAAGCTCCAGGAGCTTGTTCCAGCCAGTTCAGAATCAAGTCGTGACCGGACCAGGTCCAGCCCCGCCCAAAGCTCCTGGAGCTATTCTGAACTGGCTGGAACAAGCTCCTGGAGCTTGTTCCAGCCAGTTCAGAATAGCTCATGTGTAAAGGAAAAACTTGAGCAAATTGTAAAAATTGGAGGAAAGAAAGCTGGGACTAAGCCAACAAATAGGAAATAGCAGGTGCATATCCGATATCGAAGTACCACAGCATCATCACACACCGTACCATCATGAGAAAGGCAAGCTGGCATGTAGTCCTCCTTGAATATGGAACAATTACTGCTGTACAGGTGTCCTTTGGCCGAATGAAATGAATCGTGAGTGTGTAAATGTTGTATATTCATGGAATAGCAGGGGGAAAGGAAGTGGACTGGTGCTCTCCATAATAGATATGGGGACAGGACCATAAGGACCTGTTTGCAAAAAAGAAAAGAAAAGTATACGCAGTATTATGTACACATTGCTAGACAACCGGAAAGAAAAAACTAACAAGGACCGAATAAAGAAAACAAACGAACAAACGGTGACAGACTGTTTCATCAGACTACACTGACTCATCAGGAGAGGCTGAACCCTCGACAATATGTGGAATCTCCATATCGATGCTTTGAGTCATGAACTCTACTCCTGTTGAAACCGAACAAACAGCAACACAACCAGCAAGGCAACTCTGCAGCCAGGCACAAGGCAGCACAGAAAAAACAGCCAATTTACATGGCGAACAGGCAAGCTGCATGGCAATCAGGCAAGCTGCACGGAAAGGCAAGGCGGTTGGATGCACAGCGAGGCAACAATGCAGCGAGGCACAGGGTCATACTGACAAAGCAGCCAAACTACAGCCAGATGCATAGAAAGACAAGACAAGTAGGTGGGCAGCAAAACGGCCGACACGGGCAGAAGCTGCACATTACCTAGTCACACCAGGAGCAAGACACTGCGGACTGCTGTTCCCACCACCTTTGGAGCCAGGAAGCCATCCTATAAACATCTGTCATCAGTGCTCATCACCCATGGAACGTGCACTTGCAGACATCTCGGATAGGACGGTCCCCCTGATAGTGGTGCAGGCACTCTCAACAAACTCACATTGACTATTAGGCACTTCTTAGACGTGCTCGCTTAGATACCCAGAAAGTACATACAAATGATTGTGTGTGTGTTGTCATGTTCGCTACACACAACTCCACAGAAAAAGCATAGCTGTGTCAGACTGTTTTGTCGGACTTTCACCGACTCATCAGCAGGTTGAACCATGACAGTCTGTCCAGGATGCATTTGATTGATGGATAAGGACTCATGATGATGCCCATAGTTAGCAATACCCCTGAGAAAAATGGTCGACTTTACTCACACCTACCTCGCAATCCTAGCAGATTGTCGCTCCAGACCCCTGACAAGAATGGCAGTAAGTCTGAGTCTGTCCATGCCACTCTACGCACACCAGTCCACCATGGATACCTGTGTGTGTGTGTGTGTGTGTGTGTGTGTGTGTGTGTGTGTGTGTGTGTGTGTGT